ATCGATTGATGTATGAATCATCAAAATCGGTCCAGGCGTTTGGTCTTTAGTGTGCCACAAAGGAACAAACATACATATATAGACTGTTAAACACATAACCCTGTCTGCGCGTCGCGCTTCGCGCTCTTGCATTGCGCAGCGGTAAAAAGGATAACACCGAACGATCATTGTGTCAATAAAAGATATTGTTTGGTATCAGTATCAACAATGACAGGTAGCTACGTCGGAACCTTAGTTTTAAACCGACTTCAAAAAAGGAGGAGGTTCTGTGTTCGACTGTATATTTCATTTTTACTGAGCAATGTTCTATTGAATTGACAGTCAGTGGTGTCAATTCTGACACAATTTTCTAAACCTAAACTTAAATTTGACAACAGTGTATCCTTGTCATTCTCTATACGGAATGAAAAGGAGAGGTTGATGTTAAATTTAGTTTTAAGTTTAGAGAATCACGCCAGAATCGACACCAATAACTCCTCAACTGATAAATTAGAGAATAATAATTCCTTATGCTTTAAATTAAATAATGAGACAATAGACAATGTCCCTTGCATATTGATAAATAATAATTGTTATATAACTTACATAAAAACATTATTAACTAAGAAAAATCCATCCAAAAAGGAATCATCATTCCTTGAATATTTATATGCATCAGGTTGACAAAATTTACATTTATTTTATTTTTATATTTAAACTTTTGACCTTTATCCGTGCTACCCACCTTTAGTAAGATTTTTGAAAAGATTATGCTACATCAAATGCAGTCATATTTTCATAGTTATAACATTCTTCATAGTAAACAATTTGGTTTCACAGGGGGTCGCTCAAAAAACGATGCCAGTGTTGAGCTTGTAGAGCAAATTTTAGAAGCCTGGGAGAACTCGCATGATGCACTTAGTGTGTTTTGCAACTTATCAAAGGCCTTTGATTGCGTTTTTAATGAAACATTAATCAGGAAACTTCACCACTATGAATTTTAAAATACTCTCTGGATCTTATTGTATCATATTTGAGTGATAAGGTTCAGAGGGTTGACATCAATGGAGAAAAATCTCCTGGTTTGTCGGTTATGATGGGAGTTCCACAGGGCTCAATCCTTGGTCCTTTCTTATTTTTAATTTATATCAATGACTTGCGCTATTTTGTAAAGGTTAACAACGAAATAGTATTGTCTTCAGATAACACTTAACATTTGTTTAAATTAATCGTAGGAAATCACAAATTGACGACGTGAACAAGTCTATTTCTAAGGTAGTCCACTGGTTCAATGTTAATAATTTACTACTAAATGACGGGAAAACTAAGTGTTCGAAATTTGTATTACCTATTGTCAAACGGGTAAAAAGTAATGTAAATATAAAGGATCGAAATATGAGCCTTGTAGATACCACAGTATTCTTAGGAATCACACTAGATTCAAAGCTGCAATGGGGCCCACATATTGATAGATTGTCGAAGAGACTTAGTTCTGCAGCTTCTGCTGTAATGAAAATACGTCAGTTAACGGATATAGAAACTGCCAGATTAGGCAACTTTAGTTATTTTCATAGTGTAAGTCTTACAGTATTTTACTGTGAGGAAATGCCGCCGACATTCAAACTATATTTTTATTGCAGAAGAGGGCTATTCGATCTGTTTATAATCTTAAAATTAAGGAATCCTTAAGAGATAACTTTAAAGAAACGGGCAAAATGACGGTTGCATCACAATACATAAGTATTATGAAAATTTAGTATTTGTCTAGTTTTCTTCAAAAGACATACCTACACCGGTAATAATATACAACAGGCAGTAAAAACATGAATAACGAGAGATCATTGAAACAGATACCAAGCCCATTAGTGTGGAGTGGAGCATATTCTTTCTTGACAAGTACTTCTTTGGATATCCTACATACTCGTAAATATAGAGTCACGCTATTACGTACATGTATGATAACTTGAGAAGAGTAGATCGTAGTTCTTATCACTCAAATGCCATTTGTCATTCAATGAACAGAGACAAAACATGAAGTAACAAATCCAAGCTTATCCTTCGTTTTTTAATAAGCGGGTTTGAGTTTATTGAAATTTCAAGATTTGAAAAATAAAACATAAATTATAATGAACGGGAATATATTTAACATGTAGGTAAAAGCTCGTCTCTTTACGACCCCCTGATGGTTTATAAGTTGCCCTCTTTTTAGTGTGGCACCTATGGCCTTGACCTTATAAATCAATGTTTTAGGAACGTTGAACGCACCGCATACTTAGTGGGTAAACGTAAAGATCGCCATACAAAGGAAATTAATTTTTAACTAACATGTACTAAATTTTTATACATTGTAGTATAGGGGTGGCTGGCGTTCATGGTTGAAAATATCAGTTAATATTTTTATTCAAATACAAAATTTGAATATTTTTATTGGTTCGGTCTGCGATTGAAATTCTTCATTACGATAATTTTATCAATCGGTTACATTTATCTATACGAATTTTTAATTCTCTCACGTTAAATTCAATATGAATTGAATGAATGTATTTTTATTCAATGTGGTTGAAAATATTTATCGAATATGTGGTGTTAATTCTTTTTATTAGTTTTATTTAAATAAATAAATATTTCCAACACTCACACCAATTAGCCTAGCCCCAAAGTAAGCACTGTAAGGCATGTGTTATGGGGTACTATGGTAACGGATAGAATACATATACTTACTGTACATATATAAGTATATTTATATAGAAATACATATTATACATCCATGACTGGAGTACAAATACTCGTATTCATCACACTAACATCTACCCCCACCGGGATTTGAACCCGGGACCCCTCGAGTCGGCGACACCATGAAACCCGGCGTACAAACCACTCGGCCACGGAGGTCGTCAAAACGTCTCTCGTCGTATTTAACGGTTGATGATATATTTAACAACACACTTTTCTAGTTACTATACGACCTAACGATTTTGTATTGAAAAGTTTCAATGTTGAGAGCTACATCAGCTACATATTTATTTAAAAATGTGTTTATCCGTCTATCTGTCTGTTGTGCTGTCACGTCTATTGTGCTGTCACGCCTGTTTTGCTGTAGCGATTTTGATGAATTTGCGTATGGAAATCGAAAAGATTCTGGGAAAGGAAAAAACAAATAGCAAATGACGCTAAAATACAAGATGAAGGGAATTAAAATAGGTGAAAATTATATATTTCTACGGAAACGTAACTACGGGCATTCAATATTTGACGACCTCCGTGGCTGAGTGGTTTGTACGCCGCGTTTCATGGTGTCGCCGACTCGAGAGGTCCCGTGTTCGTATCCCGGTGGGGGCAAATGTTTGTGTGATAAATACGAGCATTTGTACTCCAGTCATGGATGTAAAATATTTATTTCTATATAAACATACTTATATATGTACAGTGGTGTCGATTCTGACAGGATTCTCTTAACTTAAAACTAAATTTAACATCAGTCTGTCCTTTTTATTCTGTATAGAGAATGACAAAGATACACTGTTGTCAAATTTTAGTTTAGCTTTAGAGAATCATGCCAGAATCGACAACATTATATGTATACTATCCGTTACCCTAGTATCCCGCAAGACAAGCCTTACAGTGCTTACTTTGGGGCTAGGCTAATTGGTGTGAATGTTGGAAATATTTATCATCATGGCCCAATCTCCCTATTCCATCCATAGGGAAGGCCTGTGCCCCAGCAGTGGGGACATTAATAGGCTGATGATGATGAAGCGAAGAAAGCAAAGAACTAGGCAGTAAGTAAGTATTAGAACTTCAATACATTAAGTGGCAAAGATTTCCACAAATTACTGACTGATGCCCTTAAATGTTTAGGTTAATATTTATTTCGAACTATACTTAGTTCGAAATAACACATACTAACAATACATTACTATGTATTTCCGTTAATTCGTCAAAAAAATCCCATGTCAAGAAAAGGAGATGAAACACACATTTTGTCCACCTAAAGTTTCGTTTTGGACAAAAAGTAGCTCAAGTTCTTATACGAGAAAATTTTTATCTTTACACCAAAACTTATCAAGATCGATTCAGCAGCTTACGCGTAACATCCTACTTACCAGACAACTTTCTTAGTCATAATATTACCTATGATTGAAATGTGTTTATAGAAATAATTTGATTGAAACGCTAATAATTAAAAAAGTCTGTTTCTAATAAGATTACGAACCGAATGATAATCGTCAAAAACAAATACCTATTTCTTAAAAGTCTAATGGATTTCTGTAGTCCATTTGATTGAGTTAAAAAAAACACAAATATAATAATAAATTCTGGATAACTTGCAGACAATGGTGTTGATTCTGGCGTGATTCTCTAAACTTAAAACTAAATTTAACATCAATCTCTCCTTTTCATACCGTATAGAATAGAGAATGACAGGGATACGCTGTTGTAAGTTTTGGTTTAGAGAATCGTGTCAGAATTGACACCATTATATTATTAAGTAGGTACTTAGGAATATGTCGAACATTAATAAGAAAACCCATAAAATTACTTAATCAACACATCAACTGCACTATCTCAACACCAATACAGTCCTTTCTTGTACTTGAGTACTTTTACCAAACGGAATTGTATTGACTGTAAAGAAAAGGTACCAAAATTTGACCTTGTCTAAGCTTTCTGTAGCGTACCAACTGCTTAATAAATAATTCATAACATAATGAATACTTTGACACTAATTATATTCAGCTACTTCAATCATTTGGATAAGTTCATAAAAAGGTAAATTATAGCAAAGTAAAATTCACATGTAATATATGTGATATACTACAACAATACTATACAATACTTTAACGTAATAAGAAAACACTGAACAGGTAATAAATCATGGTTTTTTATCATTACTAATGTATCGGATCGTACTCTTAACTTTACACACCTTCAAAAAGTGTTTAATTACATCTTCGATTTGCGTAAAGACATAAAAAAATAAATGAACTCATTTAAAAACGATACGAATATTGTATGCTCACCTTGTAAGATATCACTTCCGAGTCCTTATAGACAACTGCGCTCCGCGGTAGCTTATTACTGTATACGGCTGGCGCCAGCCAACCAGCGATCGATAAACATCCCTACTAACCCCCCAACCCTGTAAGACCTCCACCTCACACCACCCCCCATACAGAAAATAACAAAAACAAGCGGTAAATAAGTCCATGGTATAATGGTCCCATCATGAAGCTAACATGCTGACGTCACTACAAGTTTCCCAAACATAATATGCTTAAAAGATGCAGTGACGGCAAACTAAGTAATAAGTAAATGGTAAGTAAACAGCAGAAGCTCTCGTTAAGTAATATGATAAGCTCGGGTCACTGTTATTATGATGCCTATAAATAATACTTATATGTATGCGGTAGTCCATTAAATTATTTATAACATGACTTGTGACTGCCCTCAGTTTTGTCCCAGTAAAATGATATTTTCCGTACAAATTTTCTTCTCTTATGACTTGCGTTGCTTTTGTTCTAACCCGATCTCTGGACACCAAAATGCATAAATGTTCAATTAATATTTTTAACAGTCAGATGGACAGAAAAAAAAATCCTTTCTGATATATAAATTTATTTTTTGTTTCGCCCTTGGCCTCCGGAAAATCTCGAAGATCAATCACCCCTTTGAAAATAATCATTATCACTTTACAATTTATGTAATTGTAATATATTGTAATATAAGTTTGACTGTTTTAATGAGCATAGTTTTGAAAAAGACGAGAGAGAAGTGAAGGTATGAGACCTTTTTTGCAAATTGCCGAATCGAAACTATGAAAGATACGCAAAATATTGAAGGGATAAAAATTGTAGGGTTTTCTTATTAAACATTATGGTTTCTTTTTCTGTTTCTGTTAGATAAATATTAAGTAAGATGTGGCCCTTTCAAGTTGCATATGACTAGGAGATCACCGACCGAAAGACTTCTACGGAAACCGTATCCATGGGTGGTCACCGATCAGCTGGTCGTCCTCCAGATTCCATTATCTTGGAGAAAAATTAGGTGATGGCTATAACCCTGTAGTTGGCAGGAAGAGAACGGTCGCCTTTTTTTGAACCGAATGCACTAAAGCGATTTACCATGAGCTTGGAACAAAGCCTGAAGAGTAGAAGAGCCGGTAAAGTGGAGCCAACTCTGTAGCACACGTCGTCAGTACAACTGAAATGTAAGATCCATCAGGCCCACTCGACTTGTGAATTTCAAGGAAGAAGGTGTTGTTTGAACTGGATATCCGGCATAGAGCTCTCACACTGTGGGATGGTCGGCGGTCGAGTCAAGTGCAAAAGTAAGCATAAAAGTTCCGTTTTCTTTTCTGCAGTGTGGGCTATCGATTTATCACCGTTGTATTGAGGTGGTTTACAGAAGTTTCCTTCAGCAGCCTTGGCAAGAGACCAAAACGCGCGAGTTCCGGAGGGAAGTTTAGTAATCACTCTTTCGCCAGACCTGGAAGCTGCATTATACTTTTTTTGGGGTCGCTGGTATTTACATCCCATACCGCGCCGCTGCGTTTGCCCAGGCCTGATAACACCTATGTTTTTTGCCTATTTACAGTGGCGACCAAACCAAGATTGGGATTCGCCACCGAGGAAGGAACAAAAAGCTCCATTCCCTGGAGGACGGCATCATCGACAGAATCAACAACGACGTTGAGAATTTGAGATCATTCTGCGCGAAGCAAACCCGGCCCCAAGGGTAGAACGCACGGAAAGAACGCATCCCATCTCAATATGATGACTTATAGTGCCACACACGGCGACAGCCAGCAATTGCGGCCGCGGTAAGTAGGTGAGTGGCATTATTCACCAGATTAGACAATGGCCCCTATGGACACCTCGTAATTATCCGGCTGTGAGGTCAGCAGGAGGTCTATGAGTGAAGGTGTGTGGTCTCTGACATCTGGAATTCGCGTTGGCGAAGTAACCAATTGTGTGAGACCATAATGCTCTGGCGAAGTCGTGAGCAGAACTGCCTGCGTGATCGTTTGTGTAGTAGTAGTAGTTTTTTACAGTCTTCTTGAACAACAGTCCTTTTCATTGTGTGAATTAAAGAGAATGAAAACACTGTTGTCTGGCTTAGAGAATGCCGAAATGGAGCCCATTATCTAGTTTGATAAAATGCTCCTGACTAAAGTGTATTAAACTGTGTTCGACTAGGTAAATTATTACCTTACTTCGATTCGCCATTAATTTGAGCGAAACACGCAACACTCTTATCATACGATTGATTTTAAATAAAAATGTATACGCGTCGACTTGAGAAGTTCCTTCGTTTTTCTCGTCGGTTAACAAAATGTATGTATTGAATAAAGGACATTGGGCAAAAATGTATGGACGTTGCACCCACGTCCTCCACGGCTAAACTACATTTGTTTGAAAGGTATTATAGTCATCATTATCTATGCTAAAGCGCGTCAAATTCTACCCCGGGGGTATTTAGTTATTTTAAGTTAAATAGGTACAAGTACTATAACGTACGAACAATAATGAAACAAGGGAATTAATTTAGTTAGTTCGACCCTACATAGGAGGCTCAAGTATTATGGGAGTACTTCACAAGGTGCAACCTTATGTTATTCTGCCACGCTAGAGTAAATTCAAAAATCCCTGCGTGGGTTGGGGTTTTTTTCAAATATTCTGTTCGTTATAGTATATTGTCTTCTATGTAAAACGGAGCGACCACAAATCACACAATCTTGTCCACGCTTCAGAGATTAACATGATTCCAGTTCATCCATACTAATTGACAAAACCGATAATCGTGTTCCAATGTCCAAAGCGAGTTTGATAAAAATCAATCAAGTGACAGGGAGCGCGCAATCACAACGAAGTAAGACGAGTCGACTATTTGCAACTGCAAGTCCTTCAACCCCGGTAAAGCGTTTTGAGGTGTCTCAGTAAGTGCAAGCGCAGGATGGTCGGCAGGCTTTGTCGTATATCTGGTTGTATAGTACGAATTTATTTAGCTACTTAAATATGCCCATGTGTTATATCTTTTGACTATCAGGATATTTTTTACGGTGTCATATATTTTGACTACCAGGATATTTTTTTACGGTGTCATAATAAAAAAGGCTAGTTTTTCATAGATCTATCGATTCATACTAATTATATTGTTGGCGGAGCTGGGTGTGTTTTGCCCATTGTCCTTTAGCACAACTATAATATTGGCCTCTTCTATGGATTTCCGAACACAGCAGTTGTAGACCCCCCGACTCGTATGATGTCATCAGTCCACCTAGTGAAGTGTCTACGACGTGTCTACCGACCGATATTGCATGACGTTGACATTGCAAATGACAAATAAACACACAGCGGAGTCACTGCTTTAAAAAAACTAAAACAGAGGCTGTATGAACTTATAATTCTTTGCCGTCTAATAAGGGAGAATTCACCAAAAAAATAAACAAAAAGTCAACATGGACCTTGCATTGCAATTTGTATTGCATTCTCGACTTATTTATAAATTATGTACTACTCTTTTGAATTCCATGCATATCGCGTCGCTTACATATTAATAATGCTTGTGGTACTTATTAAAAATGGCGTACACCTAGCGTAAATTGTGTTTATCAAACTCAAATCAATATCTGAACTTGTTTACCTACATAGACTGTGACTCTCTCAAAAACTGCACTGTTTACTTGATTCTGATTCCTGGCCCTGCGAAACTCTTGCGGTTTTTTAACACTGGACCTGCAAAATTGCCTTGTTATATTGTTTTATAATATAAGCAATGGCACGCAATTTGACGATCGAAGAAAGGAAACAAATAATAGATCTAAATGGTCAAGGAAAAAATATTTCCGAAATATCCCGAGAATTAAAGATTTCGGTAAGTTACTGGTTTGTCATTTGTTTAACTAGTGTGACATTTGTTTTGAACAAAGGCTATCAGGCTTCGTTATCCATCCAAAAAATATATATTTATTCATTTATTTGACCCTTTCCGTGGGTGTACACAAATATGAAATTTAAGGGATTTACAGTACAAGTGTTAGTACGTTTCGTCTTTACATGCAGTGGTTGAGCAGGTTTTGATTATACAAGGACTTATTATTATCATGAAGATAACCAGATGTTCGTTGTAAAGCCAGCTATCAGCTACACTGATGAGTGAAGGCTGCTAATCTTGTACTGAGTCTGTGTACTAAGCCATGGGCCACTCTCTTCTGTTTCATATTTAGGAAACTCGTGCCTTAGCAGTGAATTGGCTAGCTAGAAACATTTTATCTAAATACTGACAATCCAAGGACATAGCAACTCTTGTGGGAGATAAGCTAGTAACATTTCACTAAAAATGGTTAAATAGATTTTTTTACCAGCATTTAAAAATTAATGCAGTATAGTCATAGATTGTGGAGATATATTCACATTAATGGTATTGTACCATTGGCAGCCTTCGAACCTCATCTAATAAAAATAATCGTCTTACATTTTATGTTATACCTATAATAATATGAAAGTTCTGAAAACTATTAGAGGTGAAGTACTACTCTGTTGTTCATCGCCAAATATCTTACTACTTTACTTACATACCTCAACTTGGATTGCTAAGAGACTATCCAAGGATTCACCGTGCTTGTGCCAGGTCTATTGTGTGGGAGAGAGAGAAACTGAGCAGTTTCCAGGACTTGCGACCCAGGTGTAGGTTTAAGAAGGCCCTCTTTAAGATGCACATCAACCCTCAACTTCACTGATCGAGTTGCCAGCCCTTCCTAGCCAAATTTGATAGGAGCCTGTTAGTGCATCCTTAGTTACTTGTTCCAAAATTTAACTTACGGCAGTTCTCGACAGGCCTAGGTCTTTTAAAAGATTATAGAGAGATTTTGCTGATATACCTGTTGTTCCTACTTCAAAGTTTGGCAAAAGCTGCTGAACTTCAGTAAAAGAGAATGTGAAACAAATTTTGGTGAATCTAATAAATATATACCTATTTATAAATATTAGAATAGAAGGTAGCCAGTATTTTTTTTATTTAAATAATTATCCATTTCTATTATTTCTTACAAACAAGAGGTCTCATGGTGAA